GAAACGTTAACTCTGTTTTCTCCTCCACAGCTGCTGCCAGACCTGCTGAGCTTTTCCAGCAACTTTGTTTTTGTATCTACAGTGACAGCTATAGCCTCTTTCTCTACATGACCATAATGGAGGAGGAGCAGCACAGAATGGCCAACGGTATCCCACTTCCTGTTCCTTTACTTGCTACATATTCTATGAATTATCCGCAGTCACTGTCACCATCTCATAGCGCCCCCATTAGGGTGAATGAACACTAACACGTGGGTAGATACAATGACGAGAACAGAGGTGGAATCATACTATCCCTTGCTGCACTATCCAATCTGCACAGCCAACTCCTTTCATCCCTTGCTGGTGTCCCCTGTTGTGCAGATGGTGCACTGGCAATGCCACCCTGCCAAATATGGCAACCTTCATTGGCGCTCTCCACAAGAGGGCAGCTGGAATGTACATGAAGCCTGGCGACCAGATGGTTTGAGGTTCTAGCTAGCAATTGTTCGATCACCGAGTCACCGCACATTTCTCCCGACCCCACGTACCGTGAGGATGAGAATTGCCTTTGATGTTTCCCAATTCTGTGCATGCGGACGGCTCCAGATTCACCAGACTGAATATAATAACCCCTGGCAGCTAGCTGAACCTGGCTGGCACGGTGGCACAGTGGTTAGCACTGCTGCCTCACAGCGCCAGGGACCTAGGTCCGATTCCCGCCTTGGGCGACTGTCTGTGTGGAGTTTGCACATTCTTCCCGTGTCTGCATGGGTTTCCTCCCATAGTCCAAAGATGTGCAGGTTAGGTGGATTGGCCGTGCTAAATTGCCTGTAGTGTTCAGGGAGGTAGAGGGTGTATATTAGGGGATGGGTCTGGGTGGGATGCTCTGAGGTTCGGTGTGGAGTTGTTGGGCCAAAGGGCCTGTTTCCACACTGTAGGGATTCTATGAACCTAGTTGGCCAAAATGAGTTTGAAACAAAATGCTGTGGATGCACAAAGGTTGGCTTTGTTACAGAAGGGACGCTTTCTTCATATGGATACTCATTACACATTACAGAATTAATACTTTTCCCTTTTATTCTGTGGACAAGCACATCCCAAAACGCGAGCTTTTCTGACCCATGGAGGGTCGCATGGAGTCTATGAGGCTATCTGCAGTGCTGTTCCAATGCTATTATTGCCCTTGTTCTCGGACCAGATAGAAAATGCAGAACGTTTGAAGGTTCAAGGAGTTGGTGTAGTCATGAGTTTGAAAGATCTCAGCTCTCAGGGTCTAGTCGAAGCCTTGAACACAGTCATCAATGATACCAGGTGAGTGAAGTTCACACCACTTTGGACAAAACAAAATGTTTGAGGGTCCTGTGGTGCAGTGGTAGAGTCCCTGAGTCAGGAAGTCTGGGTTCAAGTCCCACCTGCTCCAGATGTGTGTAATAACATCTCTGAACAGGTCGATCAGTAAATTTCTCAGATTTTCCAAGTCTTTGTATTTTTTGGATTTTAAATGGACAGGGGAGATTTTTAAAAAAGTGAAAGTGGAGAAAGGAAAAGATCTATTACACATTGAATTTCCAAATAAACAATGAAATTTGAACGCATTGATGCTTGTACTAGTTTGCCACAGATTTAAAAACTGAGGATGCTGTAAATCAGGAACAAAAACAGAAGTTGCTGGCAAAGCTCAGCAGGTCTGGCAGCATCTGTGAAGAAAAAGCATTAACTCTGATTTTTTTTTCTTCACAGATGCTACCAGACCTGCTGAGCTTTTCCAGCAACTTCTGTTTTTATCACCATAGATTTACGGTTTCTGTCTGAAGCAAACTCCAAGATGTGCTTGTGCCCAGTGTGTATCAGATCAATGTTAACAACCATCGTGCAGAAGAGCCAGATATGAAAACTATGCATCACTTGCACCATCCCGTATTCCCCATATCTCTTATCAGCGAGTAGGAGAGGGATGCTGCAGGATAATGATCAATACAAGCCTCAAGACGGCTCACCACCCACCTCGGGTGGCAGTTTGCCCAGAGGTGGGTTTAGAAGGGATCAGCTGCCCATGCCATGAAAGGGTTAGGGGCAATTTGTGGCCGAGCAAGCTCATGGAAGGTGGCTTCCTTTCGGAAACCCTCTGAGCCATCAGAGTCCTGAGACCTGCGAATGTGCTTCCTACTCATTACTTCCTGTTCCTCCAACTCTGTAGAAGTTCCCAACCTGCTGAGTATTTACAGCAATCTTCTTTTCATGAGAAGGCTGGCAAGGTTGGCATTTGTTGCCAGTCCCTCATTGACATTGAACTGAGTGGCTTGCTAGGCCTATTCAAAGGACAGTTAAGAGCCAATCACATTGCTGTGGGCCTGGAGTCACTTGTAGGCCAGACCAGGTAAGGATGTCAATTTTTCATGCATAAAGGACATTTAGTTTAATGAGATGGGTTTATATAACAATTATCGCAATTACCCTTTCAGTGGGCTTCACTTCTGATTTTTTTTAAAAAATTAATTAAATCTAAATTGCCATGGTGGGACCTGAAACCGTAACAGCTACAGCGCACTAAAGGGTTTTTGGGTTCCTTGTCCAGTGACATGACCACTACACTGCATTCCTTTTATGAATACCATGACTTTTTGTCTCTCAGATACAAGGAAGTCATCACCAAGATGTCTTCCCTCTACAAGGATCGGCCAGTGCAGCCCCTGGAGATCTCTGCCTACTGGGTGGAGTTTGTGATGAGGCACAGAGGAGCTGAGCATTTACAAGCTGCCGCTCACGACTACAACTGGATCCAGTACCATTGCCTGGATGTCATTGGAACTCTTGCTGCTGTGGTCTTTCTGTTCTTCTGCTTGGTGTTCAAGTGCTGCTTGTTCTGTCTACGCAGGGCAAAAGGTCGAGCAAAGAGGAAGTGTGACTAATGTACCTTTTTTTCAAAAACAAAGTGAGCCTTCTTCAGAGTGCCTGATAATCCAATGGATATATTGTCACAGTTGTGTGTGTGTGGGGGGCAATGGAGATGAGCCCCACCATTGCTCCCTGCCGACTGAATCCACCAGCGTTCAGCCATTCTGTTTCCCATAGGACCATGCGGTCTCCTGGAAGTCAACACACTGCTCACCTCCTGGCTGCAGTTGATATGAAATTAAGCAGCTCAACATTTCTGTTTCGGAAGAAAGAATGAATGAATTAGTATCCTCCACTTCATTCAAAATCAGCTTGATGCAAATGATTGTATTGCCTTGATTAAATGACAACTTTTGTAAGCAACCTTTTCTCTTTTGATAAGATTTCCTTAGGCAAATTGTACACTCCCAAGTTTTAGAAAAGGTAATTAATTTAGGTCCTTCCTTCCTAACAGCACACTGTAAGTATATTGACATCCCTTGGACTGCAGCAGTTCAGCTCACCACCACCTTCAAGGGCAATTCAACAATAAATGCTGGTCCAGCTATGAATCCCCACATTCTGTAAACAAATAGAAGTCCTTTACATGACAAACAATAAATACTTATTTACCTTGACTGGATGATTGAAAAACCTCACACGCATTTTGGCAGATTCTGTTGTCTTCTGTCAGCCTGGCCAAGTCACCTCACAGTGATAGCCCAAAGTTTGTCTGTCACAAGTCATGGTCCCTTTGTTAATATGCCAGTTCGGATCCTCTGTGATGTGCATAACTCATTTGGCAGCACTCTCACCTCTGCACCATGGCTTCACCCTTGGGCATCCCAGCTGATATTTATCCCTCCAGCAACATCACTCCAATAGACCAGCTGCCACTAACTCACTGCTGTTTGGGAGAACTTGCTGAAACTCGTAACTTTAATGTGTTTAATGCATTGCAAAAATAGGAAATAAACTGAAGGACATACAATATGGTGTGGAACTAAATAGGTTGGTAGCACCCATCTTGTTTAATTTTATGTACAATAAAGATTGTTTTGTTTGGCAAACTAGCAAAATTTCCATTCAGTATTCTTTATTAAAGCCATGCTTACTGCTCCAACCTAATGTTGTCTCTAAAATCTCTCCTGTGGAACCATTCTGGTAAAGTCTCCTCTGCACCTTCACAAGGACCTGTCTTGTATTATTGCACAGATCCCAGGGTCTCTAAGACAGCTAGATGACATCGAAGTAAGATCTTGCTCTCTCTACATCAGTTAGTTAAGTAGACAGACAACTATATGCATGATTTAATAGTGTTAGTAAGCATAGAATCCGGAATACCAGTAAATCTGAGGCATCATGTTAGTGTCATTAGCTATACGAACATTTTAATAATAACTAAGTGTCTCAGTAACAACCTGAGTCTCTGTGGCATAGGTTACGTGGGCTAACAAACATCACATGGACAGCAAGTGGGCTCTAGAAGCTGATGATGGCTCGGGTACTAAAAGCTAGTTGCAGCAAATTGATATTGAGGGCTGAAAGGGTGATAGCGGCTGTTGTAATTGTGAAAAATAATTTTCTTAATTGTCACGCATAGTTTTACTGAGTTCAGGAGATTAACGTGGTGGAGGGGATGAAATGTTTAGCCATAATTTTACTGCCGTGAGTGTGGGGCAGGCTTGATGGACCTTTCTGTCGATATTTTGTAAGGCTGTACACATCACACTGCCTGATGATAACATCACAGTACTGTCCCCTCCTGGCAGGAAGTACCCAGAGCAGAATTATGCCAAGGGCAGAAAGAAACGTTCAGCAGACTGATTTCCTGGGATGCTAGGGTCATCCTATGAAGAGAGGTCGGCATAGTAGCTCACTGTGCCAGGTACCCGGGTTTAATTACAGCCTCAGGCAACTGTCTGTGTGAAGTTTGCCTATTCTACCTGGGTTTCCTCCCACAGTCCGAAGATGTGCGGGTTAGCTGGATTGGCCATTCTAAGTTGCCCATAGGGTCCAGGAATGTGCAGACTAGGTGGTTTAGCCACGGGAAATGTGGGGTTATGGGATAGGATAAGGGGGTAGGTGTGAGTGGGATGCTGTTCGGAGGGTTGGGTGGACTCCATGAACCAAAAAGCCTACTCCCACACTGTAGAGGTTCGGTGATTTACATCAGAGTCTGAAGGCTCTGGTTTTGCTTTTTGCTAGCATTTAGCAGAATGAAAGGAGATCGAATTGAAACAGCTTAAATTCTTCCAGGGATTGACACCATGGATGTTGCAAGGAGGTTTCCTGTCATGTGAGGGCAGCCTATAATTAGGGGACACAGTCTCAGTGTAAGGGGAAGGCCATTTAGTACTGAGATGGGAAGAAGTTGTTCAGTCACAGGCTGGTGACTCTTTGGAATTCCCCTGTCTCAGAGGGTTATGAGCAGTCATTGAGTGTATTCGAGACAGAGGTCAATAGATTATAAAATATTCAAGACACTAAAGGACATGAGTATTACTGCAGCAAAATGACCATGAACTTTTTGAATGGTTGAGCAGGCTCCAGGGCTGAATGGCCTATTCCTACTTTTTCCTATGTTGCTAAACCTCACCTGTCTCTGATTCATGTTAAATCACACAACATAGAAGGATGCCCATAGGGTTTGAAATGCTATCTAAATAATCCTTCTCACCCTGCTCTGATCCTATAGATCTGTAAATGGTTTCCTTTCAAACATTTGTCCAAATTCCTATATTGAGACTGTTTGTACTGCCCTTACAGGCAGCACACTGCAGAACATGACGACTTAATGTGTAAAAACAAAATTCCTTATCTGCCTCCTGAATCATTTTGCCGATTATCTGAAATCTCTGTCCACTGGTTACCAACTCTGCCTGAAAACTGGCAGTACCCATTTAGTATATCAAAACTTTTCAGAATTCTGTGCATTTAAACCTTCCCTAACCATTCCACTAGAATCAACTTATTAAACACTCGGGAAACAAAAGTTAACAAATCTTATTGAATAAATGCAATTTCATTCAGTAATCAATCATTATTTATTTCGATCCAACCACTAGGCACAGTGACATTTGTGTGTTTTCCCTGTATCTGCTTGGGTTTCCTCCGGGTGCTCTGGTTTCCTCCCACAGTCCAAAGATGTGCAGGTTAGGTGGATTGGCCATGCTAAACTGCCCGTAGTGTTCAGGGGTGTGCAGGTTGGTGGCGTAGCTGCAGGAAATGCAGGGTTACAGGGATGGAGTGATTCTAGTTGGGATGCTCTTCAGAAGGCCAGTGTGGACTCAGTGGGCCGAGTGGCCTGTTTCCACACTTTTGGGATTCCATGTTCTCATGTTATACTTTTAGTTTTTATTCATTTTATTTCTAGCCTGGTTGAAATCTTAGATATTTGGTGCCACCTTTTGGTAATTTAAAGGGAAAACCTGTCAGATGCAGTCGTACATTTAATTATTACATTAGGCAGTCATGGTGTCAAATTTAGTGCATGGTAAAGATCTGTAGATCCTTGAATGTTATCATTTATTATGCCCCATTGTGCTCCTGGGGGTGTGAAAAAACTCTCAAGCCCCTTGATCCAGGCATTTAGTTTTCATCCCATGTTTGAAATGCAGCCTATTCCTTCTTGAAATGTAACATGGAGATACTCAGCAGGTCAGGCAGCATCAGTTTAGAGAAGGAAACAGTGTTAACTTTTCAGGTGGGTCATCCGTCATCTGAGTCACAAGATGTTCGGAGGTGAATAGCTTCTTAACAAAACCAAGGAAGTGTGGAGCAACAGGAAATTTACAAGCGATTTGTGAAAGGGTGAAGCACTGGAGAAGAGCGAGCAGCATAATGGTGCAATGCAAGCAGGAAGTGATGAAGGGAAGTAGGAGAAAAGAGAGAAGTGCAAAACCAGTTGGATGGGACAGCAGAGCTTCTTCAAGGTGATATTAATTCTATTTCACTTCAGCGAAATCCTTTCAAACAGAACACCACCATCTTGACAGGCTACAACCAATGGGGTGGAATCTTCATGGGGATCCACAAGATTCATTGATATCATTTTTGTTCAGGTTACAAGGTGATTTGCCGAAATGGTCGCTACATTTTTCATGTTTCACTCAAACATTGCACAATATATGGAACAAGGCAAAACGCTATGACCTTTGTAATATAGATGAAGGCAGAATTTGTATTGTCTTCCAAGGGTTTCATTCATGTCTCCTTTTGTACAACGTAGCCCTGGCTGGAATGGAAGGATAATCAACAATAGTTACACGATTGCTATTAGACTGGCTTTTCATCCCCAGAGTTTTATTTTAGCACAAATTTCACCCCTTCCAAGGTGGAATTTAAAACTGTATCCCTGATCGTGAACCCAGGGTTCTTGATTGCTGTCCAGTGACATTATCACTGCTTCTGTTACACAAAGGAAATTTTTATGTTTGGTCATGAGCGAAGGAGAATATATGGACTTCACTCAAAGTGGAAGAAGTATTTGAATCAGGAACACCTTTCACAGTTTTACCTACCAGAATAACCAGAGCTGAAGCCATTGTATGACATTTCATCCCATGAAGGAAGACTAATTTGGGGGTTTTCCATTCTTTTTGTTGCATCACAAAGTTAACACATTAGAGGTCTTGAATGAATGACCTGAAAGGCTGGCAGAAGCACAATCAGTGATAACATCAAAAGCGGATCAAATGCTTGAAAAAATGAAATTTACAGGGCCACAGAGATAAGGCTGTGCCTTTAGTTTGTGCTCCCTAAGCTCTGAAGTTTCCTCTGTAAACCCCTCTGCCTTCCCTACCTCTTGCTCCTCCTTTGACATTTCCTAGAATACGTGGATTGGCCATGCTAAATTGCCCACAGTGTCCAGGGATGTGTAGGCTAGATGGATTAGCCATGGGAGATGCAGGGTTACAGGGATCGGGCATGGGATTGGGTCTGGGTGGGATGCTGTTCGCAGGATCGATGAAGACTCGATGGGTGAATAGCCTGCTTCCACACTGTGAGATTCTATTTTATGATTCTATACCCTTTGTCAGTGGGAGAGAAGGTAAACAGGAGACATGGAGAGCTGAGGGGACTGGAGAGTGAGAGGGGTGGGAGAAAATCCAAAGGAGAGATAGATTTGGAAATAGGGATGTGTGAAAGCAGCGGTGAGGGGCATGAGGGCATCGAGAGTGGGTGAAAGGGTGGGAGAGGGGAAGGATGGGCAGAGCTGGGTGTGAACAGGACAGGGAAGGACAATAGGGTATTTTGATAGCTCTTTCAAAGAGCCAGCATAGGTGCAATTGGCCAAATAGCCTCCTCCTGTGTTATATGTTTCTGTATAATAGATGTATGGAGATGTGAAGTACACAGGACTAGACATTAGGAATATCCTGACCTGATGATACTGTGTTCATTACACAGTAGAAAATGTATTGCTGAAACAGACTGTCAGAGCTGGTGAGCAGCATCACGCCTATATTAAAGCCTTCCATGCAACTAATTCTCTCTCGCCTTTGAGCAGAGATTGACTGATTTAGACATGAAGAAACACTTGCTCCAGTTTACTACAATATGTTGACACTAACTCTATGGCTCTTCTGTGCAAATAATTTTGTAGGGCTGCTTTTTACAAAAGGACATTCATTTGTATTATCCTGTACAGAAGTGAAAGATTCTGTAAAACTGCAAGTCTCTCCTTCATCTTCCAGGAGAAATGAAGGATCCCCCCAACCCCCCCCCCCCCCCCCCCCCCCAAGATAGGAGAGCTATATAATTAAGCAGCATACGTTAGCCAAGTAGCAAACACAACAGTTTCAAAAGAGCTAACATAGTTTCCACTTAAAACAGGTTTAAATAAAAGAGATAGAAGTGAAAAACAGTTATTGCATTGAACATTTTGCAAGTAACAGCCTGGAGGTTTACCTATTCTTCACCAAGATGGTAAAATGTTAAGCCCACAGTGCACACTTCCTGTGATAATCTGATGGTGAAAATTTTAAAAAGTACAAATAAAAAACATACACATTTTCTCATCGGGATCCACTCCAGAAATATGAGCTTTGAAACTTTATTTTCTGGTATG